AGAGACAGAGTGGGAGGCAGGAGGCTGGGAAACTGTAAAAGGTCTGAGAAACTGCAGACCTGTCCTGCCCTCAACCCACCATCCCTAAAACCACCAGCTCCGGGGCCTTTCTGCACACACCTCCAATGCCAAAAGCAGGATTAAGAGAGAATTCCCTTCCTCAGAAGAGGTCTCCCACCGTCAGAGACTGGGCTTCTTCCAGGCAAGCTAGCGAAAGGGCCTCGCCAAACTCCACCTCCCCGACAGCAGCACCGTGTGCGGTGTGCTGGCCTGTGACGTGGGACAGCCAAGACCAGCAGAGAAGCGGACTCAAAGGAGTCCCTCCACTTCGGCAAGCAGCCCAGGAATCTTTTCCCTCACTCCAAACCCCAGACTGCACCAGTATACAAATCAGACGGCTTTGCCAACAACACGGCGACAACACGGAGAGATAAATCAGAGGTCTCCTGCTAAATACACACTTCTTCCTGCTTGCCAGAGCTGGGGCACTGCTGTGGATCTAAACATTTAATATCTTTTTTGCTTCCTAGTAATAATTAAAACAAACACGGACCCCAACACACACACACACACACACACACACACACACACACACACAAGAACACAAAGAAAACCTTCAGGTAAGCGTGCTCTCCAACATGTGCCCTACCACCCAAGATGCAGAATGCTATCAACCCACACCTTGACACCTTAGAACAAGGATGAGAGGTCACCTCTTCAGGGAAGGAGGGAGCCTCAAGCAGATAGCGGTGACCTGGGTCTGTAGCATGACTGACCAGCAGGGACAGGCTGTAATGGATGTGCTGAGAAGCAGTACAGTGAGGTCCAACAGGTAACGCGGCTGGCTCCTCACAGAATGCACAGCCACCTGGTCAGCTCACCTGCAGCCTGACCAGAGCAAGAGCAAACCACCCGAAGGGCAGAGGTATCATGCGGTCTGGAGCACAGGCCAAAAGCACATTCATGACCATGTCCGGCTTGGACCAGAGGGAGACAACACAAGACAAGCTCATCCCTGGCACCCTAACAGTGTTCACACGAAGAGCTGCCTCGGCTCCACCTGAGTTGGCCTGGTTCTGTTCTGCACAGGCTCCAGCCTCCAGAGCCGGCCACTCTTCACAATGAACACACCATCACCACTTTCCCTAGTAACCGTACACAGGGCAACACACAGAACTGAGGACTAACCCCGCAGGTCTGCTTTAGGACCAGCAATTGGGGTGCAGCCCACTTCAAGGGGAGCCTTCATCCTTTGCCTTCTTTTGGTACTTTCCACTTGAAGGTTCAACGTTCAAACCACCATCTCCCTGAATGGGGTCTGAGGAGCCTGACTAATGATAAGGCCAGGGGGTAGGCACAGAAGCCTTTCAGGTCAGATTCAGACATCTGTCTCTAGCTGGCCACAGAGGCCAAAGGAAGCAACACCGGCTACCGGATGTTTTCTGTCTGCCAGGAGTCAGCATCTCAAGCCCAAGCTCAGGGCTGCAAGGATGAGGGGTGGGAAGGAAAGGTTCCTCTGGGCTCCAGTGTACAGAGGGACAGAGCTCTCCTGACCCAAACAATCTTCCTCAATCAGATTTGACCCGCTCGGTTATAAAACTTATACAACAAAGGGCCCTATCCTCAACAGAGTAAGCAGAGCCCTGCCTGCCCAGAGTCCACAGAAACACGGGCCACAGTGCCCGTGGCACACCAACTCTAAGGGTATTTGCTGGGCACATATATCTATGAACCGCCACTACTCCTGTGCATTGTGGGTAACATGGCCAGCCTCTCAGATCGGCCAGATCCACTCGTCTCTGAACCATTTCTACCTTCTTGCTTTGTGGATCGTGTCATCAACCTCTGGGGTCTGCTGTCAGGATTATGTCCACATTGTGAGAGCTTAACTCTCCAAGAGAGATCGGCTCTACCAGTCCACAGCATGGTGTGTCGTCTGCACCCTCCTGACGTACCACCTCTTCACAAGGAATGAACGAGATTAGCCCGAGAAAAGGCGGCACAGGCAAGCTCTAAAAATACACAAACTAGGCTATCAAAATGTGAAAGAAACCAAAATTAACTCATTATCAAAACACTGAGAACTGGGAAGGGAGAAGGAAACATGACTTTGAAGAGGTGGCACTTTAGAAACACAAATCCCGTGATGTTTTGGACTTCATTTGTTTCAAAGATTAAGATGATGATATTTCAAAGACTTTCACAAAGGAGACATTTCCATGGTTTAAAACTATTTCTTAATTAATATCTTCAGGAACTAAGGAGAACTTTTATACACTGACTGGATCTTAATAAAACTCTCAGAGAAATCCTGGCATCCGTCACAACAAACACTCTCGGAATTTAATTTCCTTTTTCTACACACAACTGACTAATGCTGCCACCACAAGTTAAAATCTGCCTGGAGCGCAAAACTCCGGAGCTAGTAGAAGCCCGGGAGGACTAGGTGGAAACTGGCCTCATACTGGCCCCATCCGTCACCTAACAGTCCCATGCCAAGCTCTGCAGCTTCTACTAGGAGCCAGATTCAGCTCCCGTGTCCTTCGCCCTGCCCCCTCACCTTCGTCTACCTCCTCAGTGCCTCCCTCACAAGGCCCCTCAAACCCAGTATCTTTTCCTTGTCCAACAAATGAATGAAAAATGAGAGAAGTCCAGAAAAATAAGCTAAGGGAGGCACTCCATTCACCTTCGGCTCCTTGCACAGGACCTGCCCTTTCCGGCTTGCAGTTTTGCTCAATGCCTTCCTTTGGGACTCCAGGTCCAGGCCCCAGAATATTCACTGTGTATTCTGGGGACTGCTGTGGGGAGGCAAAAGCTGGACGAATTATTCATAAGGACAAAAATGTACTTTAAAAGCCTTTCTCCCCCAAGGACAATTCCTGCTGGAAGACTTAATCAATCCCATTATCTGGAGTGCCTACAAGGGAAGAGATGCCCCCCCTTCCCTGAGCACCAGAGCTCACAGGTGTGCAGTGCATGACAGCACTGCCCTGATTTTACACACACAGAGCCCCAGCCTCCATGTATGGCTGGGCCCTACACCAGGCCCACCGCACCCCCAAGACTGCCTCCTGTGTCTTCCAGTGTGATGCTCAAACATCCTGGGTCAGAGAGCATCTTACTGTTTATGTGCTGTTCATGTAGGTGGTCTCATTTAATGATCATATTCTCCACAGCTGAGAATTCCTTTTCTGGAAACTGTAGAGATGGCTCAGTGGTTCAGAGAATGCACTGTTCTTGCAAATGGGAGTTCAATTCCCGGCACCCACATCAGGTAGCTCACAAACAGCTCTCCTCCAGGAGATCCAACGCCCTCTTCTGGCCTCCATGGGCACCTGCACTCGCACGCACGCACGCACACACATTCACACATAATTCTTAAAAATAATTCCTTTTCCATCGTTACAAAAGGCTGTTTGGATCCAGTCCTGCTGACACAGAACTGCACCCTCTCCTGGCTTTGCTTTTCTTATCTGTGAACTGAAGACCTTCCCTAGAACCTCAAAAACAGCAGGAGCTCAAATGGTAATTACTATTAGGTACATAATTTTTAATAATTTAACAGCCCTCCATTACAGTCACATTCACCTGTGGAAAACCTACAGACATTCTAAAGACATGACATAATCAATCAAGCCCTTACGTGTTGTGTTGGAGATATCATTTTACCACCAACCTCAGAGGTAACCACCTACTGTGGCTTCCAAGAAACTGACAAAAAAATGTTTTTGAAAGGATTACTGAAAATGATGTGGTCAAACCCAATATGGACTTTGAAAGCTGCAAACAGAGGCCAACAGGAGAGGAACAGTCAGTTATGATAAAATAAGCAGCTCCTCACCTTCCAACACCATGGCTCGATCGTTAACATACTGTTTAGCCCCCCTTACTGCAATTCTGACTGCCCCCAGCACCCGAAAACAATTTCCATTGAGTTCTGATGAAGGGCTGCCCCGGAAGGGAGGGGTAGGGGACATGACTAGGGACCAGGATGGGGTAGAGAGGGTACCCGCGGTTGCGCAAAGCTATTTTTAACGGGCTGCATCCAAGCAGTGTTTATTTACTTTCATTTGAAAGAAAGCGGGATAGCTCAGAAATGCCACATACAGCTCAGCATTCCTCAAGTCAGTGTTAAGAGTGTGTATGTACGGGAGTCAGAAGAAAACCTGTACTGTGCTAGGCGGGACATGTTCTCCAGGGAGACCACCCCCCCACACACACACACGCCCAATTGAGCACCCACTCTGGGCCTGAAGTTAAAAAGCCAGAAAGAACTCAAGTCCACAGATGTAAGTACATCCTAAGCTAGGATAGCCACTTTACAGCAAGGACAGATGGCCAGTCCAGAGCACCGACTGCCCCTGAGAACAGCGCTCCGAGTGTAAACCTAGCACTGGTGGTTTCCCTTTAAAGTCTACTCTTAATTTCTTGAAAGCTGAAACACGAGCTGTTCAGTCTCACAAGGAGGAGTTCAGCCTCCCTGGGAAACCCACTAGGGACTCTGTCAAAAGATCTGGCTATCTCCCATCACACAGGTAAGAACTTGGGGGTCCAGACAGGGAAATGGCTCACCCAAGGTCACGTCCTTGCAAACCTAGCTAGGCTCTCAGGCCCACAGCTGCACATGACTTGACGTACAGGTGTCTTGAATACTAAGTTTACTTGAGAAGTCGGGGAGGCTCATCTGCTCCCTCATCAAGGGGCAACACACTGGACAGGTTGTTCAAATACCTAATCGGTATCTGTAGAAACCTTGTTTTGGAAGTAACCAACCTCAGACCATCAGAGGCCGTGTCTACCCACACCCCACACGTTGAGCCCAGATGCGCAGCGCGTGGGCTCCAGGCAGCTGCTGGCCCGGCCCAGGGAATCTTTCAAACACTAGGGGGCCCGGACTTTTGTTGCACCAAGCTGGGGAACGAGAGGCTGGGTGGGTGAGGGCGCACGCAGGGGTCCCCTGCGGTCCCAGCCCACTCTCCCCGCGACACCCCTGAACATACCGTGCACCCCGCGGTCCGCTCAACTTCCCCAGGACAAATGCAGGGCAGTGAGGTGAACGTGGCAGCGGGGAGGGGCGGTCCTGGAGCCCCGCGACGCAGGAAGCCACGCTCAGCTGCTTCCCCACCCGGTGCGGGGAAGCCACCGGGGGTCCCCAACTCTGGGCTCGGCCTCAACGAGGAGGAGGCCAACCGCCCCCGCCGCCTCCCGGGGTCCCCCGGCCGCCCGGGCCCCACGCTCCGGCCGCCGCCGCCACCACCTGCGCGCTTG